GTTTTCCGTTTCTTGATGGCGGTCTTGCTGTTGGGGTCTGGCGGTAACCTGGGCCTGTCCACTGTGGGGAAGGCCTTGGGGGTGTCGATCGACTGATACCACCAGGGGTCTGCACTGCCTGCTCGAACTTCGAGGCCAACGTGGGTGGCCCACGGTACGGTGGGGCACTGGCGGATGGAAATAGCGTGCTCGATGCCAGTCTTGACCAGTGCGAAATCAAGCGTGAGCCCCTGGCCCTTGTCGCAGGTGGCAGATCCAGGTGCTCGCACGATGGTGGCATTCCATTTGGCCAGCCACTCTGTCGCTGCAAGCTGCTCGGGTGTCATATTCCAATCGGCCAAGATGATCCAAGGGTCTGTCAGCATAGTAACGAAGGCTCCCAGCGAGAGCAGCTTGTCGTGCACTGCACCCTCGATCTGCCTGTGGGGTTCCAGATACGCAGCAATAACAACCAGATTGCCAGAGCGTCTGTGCCATACCGTGGGGGTGAAGCCGAGGAAAGGGTCAGGCCTGCGCTGAGAGATGGCGAGATCTCGTAGATGGTTGAACGTGGTGGCCTGGACATGGTACCTGGATAGGATGATCTCGCCACCCGTGTTGCCGCCGTCTGATCTTCTGGTAGGGGTGGCCGTAGTCGATGATATTCTCCAACCATCCGCTGCTAGCTTGTCGTAGATGAGCGGCGCTTTTTCAGGCGAGATGTGTGTTTCGACTAGGGCCACCATCTGATATTGCTTGCCTGGGCCTGCCAACCATTTCTCAGACTGTGGTCCCCATTGTGTGATGTTGGAGAAAAACAGGGAGTGGTCTGACTGCGGGAGCTTCGTAGGGCCTTTCTCTTGGTTGGCAGGTGTAGGGTCGGGTCTCGGACTGCTGGGCTTCCATGGCCCCTTCACTGCAGGACTGTCGACAGCTTTCGCCATCTCATCGCCCCCTACCAAGGACTGCGTCTTGGGCGGAGCGGCATCAGGGTTTGCCTCTGGCGGAGGCTCCCCTGGTTCCAGTACCACATGAACGTCGACAGCTTGTGCCGTCTCATCGCTCCCTACCGAGGACAGCGTCTCGGGCGGAGCGGCATCTGGGGCAGACCGAGCAGCGCGCTGCGGCTGTCCTGGGCCCCACCCCACTGGGTAGTCGACGGTCTGTGCCGTCCCATCGGCCCCTACCGAGGACAGCGTCTCGGGCGGGGCGGTAGCGTACTGCTCGGATTCGGTGTAATCGAAGTGGGCGTCCAACTCGGCCAGCTCGTCGAACGGGTCGAGGACTGCGTCCATTGTGTTGATGATCGATGGGTTGTCGTACTACTACTAGTAGTAGTGGTAGTAGTCGTAGTAGTAGTAGTAGTAGTAGTAGTAGTTGTTGTAGTAGTAGTAGTAGTCGTAGTAGTAGTAGTAGTAGTAGTAGTAGTAGTAGTAGTAGTAGTAGTAGAAGTAGTAGTAGTAGTAGTAGTAGTAGTAGTAGCAGTCGTAGTAGTAGTAGTTGTTGTAGTAGTAGTAGTAGTAGTACTGGTTGTAGTAGTAGTAGTAGTACTAGTAGTAGTAGTGGTGGTAGTAGTAGTAGTAGTAGTAGTCGCAGTAGTCGTAGTAGTAGTCGTAGTAGTCGTAGTAGTCGTAGTAGTCGTAGTAGTAGTAGTAGTAGTAGTAGTAGTAGTAGTAGTAGTAGTAGTAGTAGTAGTAGTAGTAGTAGTAGTAGTAGTAGTGGTAGCAGTAGAGTGGGGATACGAATAGGTAGTAGTACTAGTAGTAAAGCGGGGCGGCCCCTGGGGGGCCCCGGACGACAAGAACCTCGAGCAGGTCCTGGGCACGTGGGTCCCAGCGATGGTTTTCCTCTTCGGCGCTGACTTCCAGGCCCCAGAGCGCCCCAGGAACGCCCCAGGAGTCTGGACGCCCGAAATGGGTGTTGAAAGAATGGGTACGATGCCCAACGGCAGTTCCTGTTCAATTTGGACAGGATTCGCTGTCCACGCCGCCGCGGCCTGTGTCCATTTGAGAAAGAGGACCGCCTGCCCAACAGCGGCCGCTGTTGGTTTGGGACAACGTTTGCTGTTGGGCATTGTGCCCATTTCTTCGGTACCCATTTCGGGCGTCCAAAAAGAGAACCGAGACGCCCCCGAGACGATCCGAGGGACCCTGAGTCGCCGAAAGATCGTTCCAAGACGCCCAAGTTGGCCTCCAGACGGCCGTAGCGCCAAGAAAACGCGGGGAGCCTCAGGAGGCCCTCCAAGAGCCTGAACAAGCAAAAACCTCACAGGCATTCGTCACCCCAGGGCCTCCTGGAACGCCCCGGCGCCCAATGAATTGGCGAGCTAAAAACGTGCGCCGAGCCAAAGCGGGAGCGCAACTTTGAGAAAATTTCGCTCGGCGCCCAAACGGGAAGAACGTTTCATTCACTTCGAGCGGGGGGGGGGGTGCCGCGCCCAACTCTTGCCATGCACTTTTGCAGGGTGGGCGACAAGAACA